ATTTCGTCAAAGTTGACGGAATATTTTAATGCTGTTAGGCAACACCATTAGGTTCCGTTACTATTTAACGGAATATTCCCTAGGTCTTTCAGTTTCTGAATTGTGCTTGGACGCGGGTGTGGCCGTGGGCTAGGCAGCGCGTGAGGGTGTGTGCTTGACGTATACAAGTCCATGACGTCAAGTAGAACATTTTCGTAAATTCAAACCTCCGTTTGAGAAAACTATAGGGGTTTTTCCTAGTTTCTTGGTGTATGTGTTAAATTAATTAATTATTTTAGTTATTTCACATATAGAAGAAAATTATCCTAAAGAAGTATGAGGTCAAGTAAGGCAAGGAGGCTACGATCCGACCACGTATCAGTGAGTGGGATTTTGTTTATATATATATATGAGATATAAAGTTTGATAGTTTCCACAAATGCTTTTGAATTGATTCATGCCTATTATGCCATGATTAAATAATGTTATAAGAAATGTTGTACTGTTGTGAAACGCTAAAATAATACTACGGGATGCGCATGTAAGTTTATTATGTTGACTAGAATTATTGAATCATTATGGCATTCTTATATTTATGTAGTCTGCTCGTCATTGTTGCACCCAATGTTAGTGCTCGCCCAGGGCCAGGGCTAGTCTTTCATGTGTATGTTCAGATCCGCACTGCATGCTCGCCTTGGATCCAAGTAGGTGCCAGTCATGTCGTACAGGTTGCAATAAACAAATCCGACATCATGTCGTACATGTTACAATAGGCAACTCTAACTCGTATGTGATCGAGAATAGCGCCAGTCTTCACAAAATAAATGTGTTTTATAAACCTTTGTTTTTGCCCACTTACCCTTCTGTTTTTCACCCCTCTAGGTCTTAGATAGCTGAACTCTCTGTGGCATATGAGGAATCTTCGACGGCTCTGACATATCTATAATTAAATGTAGGAGCTGTTCATGTTGTGTACTAAGTAGTTAACTAGTTTCGATTGCACTACCTATATCATCTATGCTATGAACATTTGTGTTATAGGTTCTTCCCACTACTGCGCACACACTTTATTAGCTAAAATAAATCATAGTTCGATTTAAATTTATCCATATTTTTATGCATCACTTTCCTTTATGGTTACGTCACATTCGAGTGTTGGCTAGCATGCCTCGACTTCTGTCGGGGTGTGTCGTGGCCGGTTTGTCTTATTTTAGTCCCAAGATTAAGAAATTGTCCCAATTTAGGGTATTTTCCAAAAAAAATATCACTTATATCATGAAAAAGTTAAACACTGTCCCGAAGGAGTTCATCTTGTAAGTTTTTTTTTTCTTTTCCCAAATTGAACTGAAAGCTTATGATTTTTATCCAAAATATACATCACTACAATGTTAGATAGTCAGCTCAAAAGTGTTTTAAAAAATAACTAAAATCACTTTTAAATCACAAAAATGTTAATGATAATGTTACAAAAAAAGTTCAAAGTACTTCTAAGCTAAAAGAGAACTTGTAGTGCTTTACTTCTTCAAGAAGCACTTTAAATGATTTTTCAAGAAGTGTTTAGATTTTTATTAAAAAATTTGATGTGTTTATAGAGGGAGGATCCTCGCCAGATGCTCTTTGTGAGGATTCCGGAGATCCTTCAATCACATCTCGTTCATTGTACATCGTGTAGCCAGTTTTTGTCAAGTATTGTTTATATTCAGTTTTAATAAAAAAATCTTTAATTGAATACTAAAATATTCCTCTCTAAGGTTTCTCTAGGCCTTCTCCAAGAGAGCGGAGGGACTGGTAATTACGACATTGGCCGTATAATTCTGGGTGTTTGTGCTCGACAACCTGTAGAGATCACAGCTGGGAGAGTGGATTAGGTTTTAATGGATGGTTCGAAGGTTAGCACGACATCTAGGGGAGAAAATTCATGGGTATTATCGAACAGGTTTGTAAGTGGTGCAGTGACTGATGGAGGATATGGTGATGAAATTTGCAAATAGATTGGCTCTCACTGTGGAAGAGCAAAAAGTAGTTGTAATTGATAACAAGGATAGTGCATTGCTCCATGCCGATAAGGCGTTTCTGGTTAGGAGAGTGCTCTCATGCAAGGCGTTTAACAAAAAGTGGTTCAAACGCCAAATGTTGAATTTGTGGTGCCCCAAGGCTAGGGTTACGATAGTGAAGATAGATGATAGGCTATTCTCATTTGGGTTCAATAGTGTGCGGGAACGTTTGATAGTGTAGAAATGAGGGCCATGGTTGTATGATGGTGCTCTGCTAGTGTTGGCGAAGGCGGTCAACTTGGCACATCCCGCGAGTATTTCATTGAATTTACAGGAGTTTTGGATTCAAGTGAAAGGATTACCCCTTGTGTATATGACTCGTCACATAGGGCAATTCATCGATAACCATATTGGAGCGCATGTTCTCACTGATCAGAGTCTAAAAGGTGAAATCTTTGGAAGTATATTACGCATTCGGGTCAAGATCGATATTATAAAGCCGCTACGACGAAGTCTTTTGCTGTCGTTCCAAGGTACGGAGGTGGGGATTGATTTGAGCTATGAAAAACTCCCAATTACCTGTTTTATCTGTGGGATTATTGGGCATATAGAGGAACAGTGTCTACAGTTCAAAGGTAAGAATGAGGATGACCTTTCAAAGCCATATGGACGATGTTTCCAGAATGATGTGTTGAGTGATAACTATTGGTGGCCACAAGGTAAGAGGTTTGAGTTAGATGCCTTATAGGGATGGTTCATGACAGCGCCGCTGCATGTAGTGAATGGGGAGAGTATGAATAGAGTTGTAGTGGTGGATCAGAGAGAGCTAGATGAGACACCAGTAGTGGCTGTGGAGGGGCTATCAAACAGCGAGATTATTGGGGTGGAAACAGATGATACCATAATCAATTGGGACATTAATATTCCTGATTTGAATGTTGAGGATGACCTGGAGGAAACGAGGGAAGATGCTATGGCAATTATGTCAACTCAGCAAATCCCGTTAGCTTGGGAAAAAGTGGGGTTGACCTTGTTTGGAATTGATTTGAATGCACCGCCAGTTGTGCATGGGGAGACTAGTCAGGGCTAATCAACTTAAGTGGTGGTGGGAATAGGGAATGAAATCAACATGAATGAGATGAATTTGAATGGGCCAGGGGTGGAGATATGGTTATGCTGAGCCAGCCTGTAGGCTTATTGAGGCGGATGTGGCTTTTAGGCAAAATTTAGGGGAGGGGAGGGTTCAGTGGTACCAGTTGGTGATGATTTAGGGCTAGGATCAAACCTTTTCAGCCTTATGCTTATTATTGAACACCATCAGAGAACCAGAAAAATGAGACTACGAAAAGGTGTCAAGAGGGTTGTGTCGACCTCTTCTCAGCCCAGTGCAGGGGATCATGAGGTTGCACATGCACATGTATTAGGGAAACGTGGGACTCGAGAAGATGAGGATATGGTAGATCATTGTGGAGGTCGGAGAAGGTTGATTGATAGCTTGGTGTTTTCCAGTTCATTGGCGGGGGTTAACATGGGTCAACCCCGCTGTCAGCAATGAGTTGTTTAAGTTGGAACTGTCAGGGGCTTAGGAACTTTTGGGCAGTTCATGCATTCCAATGTTTAATATCTAGTCAAGATCCCACTGTAATGTTCTTATGTGAGACAAAAAGTAATTCTCGTTACATGGACCGGTTACGTTTAAAGCTGAATTTTGATCGTAGTTTTACTGTTGATAGTAAAGGTAATTCAGGAGGTTTATGCGTTTTATGGAAGAATGAAATAAATTTATGTTTAAGATCTTATTCTTGGAAACATGTTGATTTTGATGTGGGTGTTCCGGGGGATACAATGTGTTGGAGATTTACTGCTTTCTATGGATTTCCAGCCACTTGTGATAGATATAAATCTTGGAGGTTGTTAAAGGCTCTTGTTGACAATGATACAACACCTTGGGTATGTATTGGTGATTTTAACGTCCAAGCCAACGAGCAGGAAGGGGGCAATATTTAACAGGATAGGCAAATGGAGGGGTTCCAGAATGCGGTGGACCATTGTCGATTGGTTGACCTTGGTTTCTCAGGAAATAAGTTTACGTGGTTCACGACGAAAGAGGGTGGAATCAAGGTGGGTTTGGATTGAGCGTTGGGTAATCAAGAATGGATGGGTTTATTCCCACATTTTAAGGTGCAACATTTAAACATATCTTTGTCCGATCATATTCTGGTTTTGCTTAATTGCTCGTGACGCACACCAATCCAAGGTAAGAAGCAATTTCGTTATGAGGAAGTTTGTCATATGCTAGGTCAGGATGGGTGGAATCATAAAGATGACACGAATAAAGCTCAGTAACTGGGCATGTAGCAATGCTAGGTCAGGGCCAAGAGAGTTTAGGGAAGTCGAGGACAAGCTTACGAGTTTGTTAGGCCAGCCATTCACAGAAGAATCTATTGAGCAGAAGCATGAGCTTATTGGAAATTTGAATAGATTACTTGAACAAAAGGAGCAGTTTTGGAGACAATGGTCGAAGAAGAATTGGGTTAAACTTGGTGATCGTAATAATAAGTACTTTCATTAGAAAGCTAATAGGAGGCAAAAACGTAACTGTTTATATGGGTTAATGGATGATAATGGGTGTTGGCATGAGGACTGTAATGGAATGGAGGAGGTTGTGGTGTTGTACTTCAAAAAGATGTTTAGGTCAAGTGGGGTGGCGAATTTTGCCTCTTTCGGTGACGGAGGAGATGAATAACTATCTTGATAGCCCGTTCATGGATGAGGATATTAGAAGTGTTGTGTTTTAGATGCATCATTCGAAAGCATCGGGCCCTGACGGTATGTCTCCGGGTTTCTATCAAAAACACTGGGGGGTGGTAGGTACGGATGTTTGGCAATGGGGTTCGGTCCATGCTCATATCTAGTCACTTACGGAAAATTAACTATACCCATGTCACGTTAATCCCTAAAGTCAAGGACGCTAAGTTAATGTCACAACTACGCCCTATTAGTTAATGCAATGTTTTGTACAAAATAATGGCGAAAGTGCTGACGAACAGGTTGAAGCTTATCCTTCCACATGTTATTTCTCCTCCTCAAAGTGTGTTTGTTCTGGGGCGATTAATTTCTGATAATTACTTGGTAGCTGCTGAAGTGGCTCATTATATGCATAAACGGTCCTCAGGAGTCCATGGTTTTATGGCATTGAAGTTAGACATTAGCAAGGCATACGATCGTGTGGAATGGAAGTTTCTCGAGGCTATGATGCATCGCATGGGGTTTTCGAATAGGTGGATCCGTACGATCATGTTGTGTATTACAACGGTGACTTACTCTTTTAAGTTGAATGGAGACTCGGTGGGTTATATGCATCCTGAAAGAGGTATAAGACAAGGGGATCCGTTGTCCTCTTATTTGTTTGTTATGTGTGCAGAGGGGTTCTCGGCATTATTAACAAAGGCAGAACTAGATGGAGATTTACAGGGGATAAAGGTTTGCCGGGCGGCTCCTAGTATCCACCATCTGTTTTTTGCTGGTGATAGCTTTCTCTTTGCCCGAGGTACACTTAGTGAGTGCTAAAACATTAAATAGGTGTTGAGACTGTATGAAATGGCTTCTGGTCAAATGGTAAATTTTGAGAAAAGTTGTATTTCTTTTAGTCCCAATTTTACAAGTTACGACAAGCAGTTACTAGCCAACTGTCTCGGTATAAGGATAGTGGAATTTCATGATAAATATTTGGGATTGCCAGTATTAATTCTGAAGTTGAAGAAGGAAACTTTCACGTGTGTCAAAGATATGGTATGGAAAAAGTTACAAAGTTGGCGAGGTGGACTCCTAAGTAGTACGGGTCGTGAGCTATTGGTGAAGACGGTGGCTCAGGCTTTACCTCTGTACTCTATGCAATGTTTTCTTCTTCCCAAATCATTTTGTGAAGAATTGAATGTGATGATAGCTAAGTTTTGGTGGAGTGGGGACCCGGGTAAAAGGAAAAGACATTGGCTTAACTGGAGGTACTTGTGTGAGCCCAAGCACGAGGGAGGCCTTGGATTTAGAGACCTTTATGCATTTAATCAGGCTTTGTTGGCTAAGCAAGCTTGGCGCTTTCTTCATGATCCAGAGTCTCTTGTATTCCTGTCTTCAAAGCTCGTTATTTCCCTACGGTTGATTTTCTTGATGCGAGGGTGACTTCCAATAGTTCATAAGTTTGGAGAAGTATCACAGTTTCAAGACCGGTGCTTCAAAAGGGACTTTGGTGGCAAATGGGTAATGTGAAAAAGGTTCAAATATGGCAAGATAACTGGGTGCCCAAAGAGTCTTGTTTCTGGATCTTGACCCCGCCACTGGTGCAATGGGGTGTTGATGCCATGGTGGACAGATTAGTTTGGGCGGAGTTGAAACAGTGGAACGTTCAGTTATTGAATGAATTTTTCTCCTCGGAGGAAGTGGAGCTAATTAGAGGGATTCCACTAAGTTTACGGGATATGGCTGACCGTAGGATCTGCCATTATGAATGACATGGGAAGTTTACTGTCCAAAGTGCCTATCATGTCGCACGGGGATTAATTGGCGTTAGTGGTGAAGGTGCATCTGGATCCTCTTCTTCTTCTAACTCTGATGGAGAGAAATTATGGAAAGCCTATGTTCCAGGGAAGGTGAAAATTTGTGTTTGATGTGCATGCTTGGATTCTCTGCCTACAAAGTTGAACCTTTGCAAACAGAGAATGTTGAATGAGGAGATGTGTGTAGCTTGCGGTGGCCAAGTGGAATCCACGGAGCATGTGTTGCGAGATTGCAATGTGGCGGTGTGGTTTTAAAGCTTGGGTATAAGGGTGCATACCGGCCAGAGAGTGTCATTTATGCATTGGTTAGCCAATCTACAGTTATAGGGTCCTACTTCGGGGTTTGAACTATGTTTAATGTTGATTTGGACCTTGTGGAAGCATATGAATGAGATATTTTAGAACGACAAGTCGTTGCCTCCGCTTGAGATTGTGCTTCAGGCCGAGGGTTGGATGTAGAAGTTCTATAAATGGCACAAGGCAGCAAATAAGAAGTTTATCTGAAAGACTTAGACGTGGAGGAGACTTGCAGAGGGTTGGGTTAAGTGTAATTTTGATGGAGCTTGGAGTCAAAACGGGAACCGGGGGAGGTTTTTGGGTGGTGATCCGTAACCATTTGGGTGAATTTGTTGCTGCTGTTGCAGGTCCGATTGAGGGGTCATGTTTGGCTTTGCAAGCTGAATTCATTGTAGCTTAACGAGCTGTTTTGTTGGCGAAAAGTCTAGGTACAGTGGAGGTGAAGATTCATTTTGAAGGAGATGCTAGTTTGGTGCTGACAGCCATGAAAGGCCAAGGGGATGATTATTCAAAGTTCGGCCCTATTATAAAATATTTGCGTTGTTTTATTACAGAGTGGTCGATTGTGTTGGTTAGTTATATCCAGCGGGAAGGTAATTCGGCGGCGCATTGGCTTGCTTGTATAGGGACTACTAATGGTCAGAAGGTATTGTGGTTCGAGGAGCCTCCAGATTTGATTTGGGATATTCTTTTAGAGGAGGGATTGTAAGCTCATATCTACTGTTCATTTGAGGATAGGTCTATTGTTGTGCGGGACGCTCTTTTCCTTCGACCGGGTTGAAATCCCCGGCAAGGTTTTTATCGAGGCCCATTATGCACACTATCTTCAGTTTGTACGTATTTTGATTTGCTTAATGAATATCGTACATTTGCTTCAAAAATAAAAAAATGAAAAAAATTTACAATGATTTCTGACCCTACGATGTACGATGAACTTATATGATTTGAGAATCCCCATGATCATCACATGTGTTTATAATAGAAGTGCTTTTAAAGAAGCATTTCCAAACAAGCAAAAGTACATATGGTAAAACAAAGGTGCAGGTAGATAAAAAAACATTCAGGTCAAATCAAATAAATCCTTGCGAAGGTTATGACAGTTTAACATTAATTCTTCTTTTCTAGCTTATTCTTTTCTATAATTAGTACAACACTTGGACCCCTCATTGTAATTCATATAAATCATTTTACTCATGTGGGTAGTTGTTGATTGATCGATCTGATCGATACTTCATTACTTGTTGCACCTATAAATATTGGCTGTGGTTATAGCTATGAAGTTATACCATCCAATCTCTCTAGTTAATTTGTACCGTCAAAGCCGCACTGCACTTTATTAATTACTACTCTTTCGGACCACATTGAGATCTTCTGCATTCGTCGCAGCAGCTGGGTTATTTTCCTGAGCTTTTACCATTTTCTCACAAGATAGGCACACCGGAGGCATTGTAGCCTTCTGAATGTACAATGGTGATGTCCCGTTCGCGTTTAATGATTTCAACTCCTGCAACTCTTTCTTCAACCTTCGATTCTCGTCACTTAGACTTTCACAACATTTCTTTAAGAACTCACAGTCTACTTCTGTTTGCTTCAACTTTGTCCTGTGATGCATAGACATCAGTTAATGGGTGTTGCCCTTTGAGAACATATATAACATGTCAAATTGTTTGATACGAGAATAATTTCTATTTATGAGTCACCTTGCTCTTCTGTTCTGAAACCAAACTTCAACTTGTCTTGGCTTCAGATTTAATTGCTCAGCAAGTGACTGTTTCTGGACCTAAAAAATTTGGTTGAAAATATAAATTGAACAAACTAATAATAATAATAATATTAAGAAATTAAACAGTTCTTGACAAAGCAAACCGTCAATCTCTTTTCCTTATCTTTTTCATTAACCTTTATGCTATGCTGATGAACCAATCTTCATGACGAAGTTTTGAAAATAAACAATTATAATAGAACTGCTCCCCCTTGTGCACTTGAGTTCAAATCCCCCTTCTTATAGTTTTTATATAAATTTAAAATAGAATATCGTTTATATCTAAAATAGAATATGGTTATATCATCTGAGATGAAGGTTTAATACGTACCTGATTAAGGGTGCTATGCCGGTTGAAGCTCTCTTCCAACAAGGTGGACTGCTCTTCTGTGAGCCTCAGTTTCTTTCTCACACCATTTTTGTTGTTCATGATAACACTCTTGTTATTGGTGTGATCGATGCTTCTCTCATAACTTTCTTCATCTACATCCATTGTCCTCACGCTTGATCCATTTGCAATGTGATCGTCCAAATTAGGAACCTCCTGTTTCGGGCAAAGCGCAAATGATAGGTCCAAGCAAACCAGAGGATTATCCTTCTTCTCTTGCCTTGAAGCATATTCACACACACCAAGCCCTAGTTGGAGCTTTGTGTTGCATGCTTCTTCAACATCACCCATTTTTGAGAGAGAGAGAGAGAGAGGGGGGGGGGGGGGGGGGGGGGGGGAGATGAATATAATTGTGAAATGGGAGGGGGAATAAAGGGATATTTGATAGAGATTTTATTATGGGAGTTGAATTTCAATCAGTTATTAGTCCTAATAATAATTTTGATTGAGGAATTACTTACACCAAATGACCCGTTTTAATGTACTAATGCAAAGTAGAGTATATAATGGAAGAAAGAGTAAAGGAAGGCGTTAAAAGTTTGACTCCTATTAGGAAACCCAAACCTCCTTCAATGCCATATGTTTGACTTCAGGAATTCCATGGCTTAATGATTTTTATTGAGCTTTTTTTTTATCTTCCACAAAGTTGACTTTCGTCGTAACAACAATATCTACGTCCACTCTTAAAAAACAAACAAAAAGAATTCATATCCAATAATTTGCAGAATTTTGTTCAACTATGGGACCTCTCAAACAGTGAAAAGTGAAAGCATCTTTCCTAGGATTTAAAAGAAAAAATCAGTTGAATAGAAAATCGTTTAGCAATTTAATTACCATCACTATGTCACTTTTGTTTTGGTTAACTGACTCGCAAGGAGGATGTTTGAAAATGACATCCAGGGCTTGTTTGGTATTTAGAATTAGTATAAATTATGTAACTCGTAGAATTCAAGGTGTATTAAAAGGAAGGACGGAATAAATAAATTTTTATTTTGTGGCGATTAATATGAAGGAAATATATTTCTTATAATCTTACTATGTTGGTGGGGAATAAAATAAAGGGATGTGCTCCACACATCCCTTTTTACTTCACACATCCTTTGTTAATTTCTGTCTGTTAATATTCTTCAATTCATCCGATCCGACGGCCGAAAACCAAAAAGGTGTGGGAGAAGTAAAAAGGGATGTGTGGATATCACACCCCTAAAATAAATAAGGTTTCTAAGATCACACCCCTAAAATAAATAAGGTTTCTAAGTAATTCATCTTCATGAACCCTAAACCCTAAAACCAATCGTAAACAGAAAAAGAGTCATTTATGATTTAATTCATTCTAAATCTTGATCATTGAACTACATTGCTTATAGGAGGACATCACACATTTCTTAGAGTCTGAACATCCTCCTGAAATACAATATCGGATCATGACTTTCTTGTTATGGGCTATCCTGTAATGTATTGCAATAATTTTAACCATGTAAATTTTATATTCCTATTCTTTCATCATCTTATCATGCAATATGCGTTTTTTATTCAATTATTTTTTAAGATCTTGTAAAAAAACGCAAAATTGCATGATAAAGATGAAATGATGATGGTGAAGAAAATCAAATATTGGCTCTTACCATTGATGTATTTTCTATTTTCTATTTTCTAACATGAAAGAAAGATGTCTGTAGATATATATACAATAATCTTGAATATGGTTGGCCATTCCAACAGAAAAGTGCGGCATTAGTTAATGGCGGAATACAACTGGGAAGGGCCTTTCTTTCACCTGGTCACGGATCTACACGCAGCAAGCAGTATTCTGTGAAATTAGGGACGCGCCAATTAGCCTAACTTTTTAAATCATGATTATATCGAGTTAGCTAGGGACGGACTGTATATGTACTAACTAGGGTTACTCAATAAATAATTGTGATTGTGATGTACACTTTGTAAATAGTAATATCATTAATCATTATCTCGATAGATGCATGCCATATAGTATGTACAAATCAAAATGTCATTAGACACACAAAAATGATCCCCTAGTTGACAACCTCTATAAAAGTAAATCTTATCAAGTGCGAGCATATTCTTGCCTCCATGACCATCCCATTGGCATTATTGCAACTGCATTATCACTCATCACTCTCCACATTTAGAAATTAATACATTCGAAAAAATAAGTAGGTGGGTAAGAGGTTTGTAGCATAGTTAGTTAAAAGGGTTAAACTCTGTTTACTTCTCTCATGTTTCGTGGTTTTCAACATTTAGTACATCAAGTTTTTTTCATCCCAGAGTCATACCTAAAGTGTTAATTTTGGGAAAGTCTCATACATCCGTTAGTCAAATTGTTAGTTCTCCCGTTAAGTGATGATGTGGCGCCCATTTAGACAATGAAGAAAAAAAAAACCAATTTGCAACCTAGAAGAAGAAGAAGAAGAAGAAGAAGAAGAAGGAAGAAGGAGAAGAAGAAGAAGTGGAAGAAAAAAAAACGAATCTGCAACCCAGAAGAAGAAGAAGAAGAAAAAAAAAACGAATTTGCAACCTAGAAGAATAAGAGAAAAAAAAAAAGAATCCACAACCAAGAAGAAGAAGAAGAAGAAGAAGAAGGAAAAAGGAGAAGAAGAAGAAAAGAAAAAACCGAATCTACAACCCAGAAGAAGAAGAAGAAGAAGGAGGAGGAAGAACAAGAAGAAAAAAAAAAAGAACAGCAGCCCAAACCCAGAAGAAGAAGGAAGAACAAGAAAAAAAAAAAAAAAAAAAGAGCAGCCCAAACCCAGTTCGTCCACCCCCTCCGCCCCGTGACCGCGAACGCATACCCAAAAGGTTCTTCTTTTGGGTTGTAGATTCTGTTTTTTTTTTTCCTTCTTCTTCTTCTTCTTCTTCTTCCTTCTTCCTTCTTATTCTTCTTCTTCTTCTTCTGGGTTGCAGATTCGGTTTTGTTTTTTGTTTTTCTTCTTCTTCTTCTGGGTTGAAGATTCGGTTTTTTTTTTTCTCTTCTTCCTTCTTCTTCTTCTTCTGGGTTGGGGGGAGGGATGTTTTTTTTTCTTTTAACTTTTATTTAATTATTTATTTTAATATTTTTTTAATGACACGTGGCGCCCAGTCATTGTCCACCTGGGCGCCATGTCATCACTTAACGGGAGAACTAACAGTTTGACTAACGGATGTATGAGCCTGTCCCAAAATTAACACTTTAGGTATGACTCTGGGATGAAAAAAACTTGATGTACTAAATGTTGAAAACCGTGAAACATGAGGGTAGTAAACAGAGTTTAACCCTAGTTAAAAACATTAGCATTTATTAGGGTCGGTCTTGAGGGTAGCCAAAGTAGGTGGGCCACTTCCCCAACTTTTATTTTATTATATATATCTAAATTAATATTATAAACTGTGTCTGTCCAAATAAGAAGTTTACAGAATTTGAGTCTTTGAGTCTTTTAATAGAATTTTGTTAACTGTACAATTTACATTTGACTCTATAGAAAGAAGTTTTCCGAAATTAAAGATCAATCTTATCTTTGATCAACTATGTCACAAGAAAGATTCAATGGGTTAGCTATTTTATCTGCATAAAATTAATTAGTATATTTCCGTCTAAAAACGCTAGATGTATAATACTTAAGTTTAATTTTTATGATATTTGTGAGAACACGATTTTTCAGGGTCCCAATAAAGCTGATCGGAATACAATTACCTCAGCTATATCAAACGGAGTAGTTATGCCACTATTACCCTGTTCCGAGGCAATAAGCAAAGTTCGAGCGACTTCGCTAAAATGATTATACTTATTTCGCAAGACATAGGATCTCATCTGGTATAAAGTCATCCAGATCCCCTATAAGTGTTAGAGTTCCTACAATCTAGGAATTGGCGTGTGCTGCAATTAATCACAACTCATAAGAGGGTGCAATATCTACTTCAAAATATCATGTAGGCTCCTTCCAACTTAGAACAAGGATTCTATCCTTAAAAAAAAGTCTCTCTCTCTTGGTTGGTATAAATACACCCATCTAGGGTTCGTCTCTAATAACGCTATCTTTGTACTCTAATTCTCTTGCCAACTGCTTGAATCTAAAACTTTGTTACTAAGTTAACCAAGTTAACCGTCAAAGAGCCTTTGGCCAACACATTCCCCTCTTCTTAGGCTTGCTCACGATTGTTCTCTGTTTTCCAAAGTACTCTGATTTGTACCTCCACCATCTGAGGCAATGCACAAATTTGGTTCCAACAATTGCTCCTTGTGTATGACATTGGCTCGGTTGTTAGGGGACATTGCCTCCTCTAGTGAGAGTCTTGAAGAGCCATCTCGGCTAAGATCAAGGTCATAGTTCTTCATGAGTTATTGGTTAGTATTTTCAACTTCTATTATTAATTTTTAATAAAGTAGTTAAAAAGAAAAAGGAAAATTAACTTGTTTAATATTTTTTAAATTGGCAACATCACTATGATCTTCAGGGCCTCAATGTTGATCAGACCAAGTATATATACAAGATGTTCTCCGGCCGGTCCACTTAGCAGAAGAGCGACCTCCACAAGCATTATGAGAAATACGAGGATCCGAATATTGCTCTAGCAGCTAGGTGCCCCCAGGAGTTGGTGAACTACCATGAAGATTGGACGTGATGCTATGGCCATCTTTAGGACGAAACATACCTCTTAAATAAAATATATATTATTATACTTTAATAATACTTAGTAATATTTCAATAATATTTTAATTTTATTTCAATAATTTTTTTAATATACGCACCTTTTTTGTTTAACAAAAAAGAGAGAAGACCAACGCAATATATAGGTCGAAGAAGAAACTTCTCCATCATCCTGGCTCGCAATGCTTCTCTTATAGGATAAAGAAGTGACGTTAGGTAAGCACATATTTATTTTAAAATTTAATACATTTTAATCTCTATTAAACAACTAATAACATATTTGTTAACATTCTTTCAATTGCACGTGGGATCGAAGTTTCTTGAGATTGACGGAGCAGTTCCATGTAAGTTTGAGGCAGCTTCGTAGCTTCCCCCAGACATCTCGATCGAGGCCGTCGTTCTTGCCCAGGATGTGGGTCTTCACATCATGACGATACCTTGATCAGAGCCTTGGTCGTAGGTCGGAGAAAGTTTACTAGGGCATTGTGACACACTCCGACCCAGAATGTTCATCTGGACTCCGAATCGAACTGTGCTGGCCGACAACATAAAGTTGACGAAGCCATATAGTGTAGTGATGTAGGAAATACGAATAAATTTAAGCCTAAAAGTGAATAAATGCAAGAGTGCGCATGAGAGTTGGATTGAATCC